TAGCGTGAATGGTGACATGGTGACGGACGGCAGCCGTATGTGTGGGGAGCACAACATGGTCGATAGAATTGTGCAGTCACTATGTTGTACACCTGAAATAAGGTACCATTGTGTGCCAAGTGTACTTTAAACAGTACTTGTTAGAGGTGCCTGGGTGGCTCAGCTCGTTAAGCATCTGACTTCAGCTCAGGTCACAATCTTGCGGTTCATGAGTTTGAGACCCGGGTCAGGCTCTGTGCTGACAGCTCAGAGCCTGGAGCCTGCTTAAGATTCTGGGTCTCCCTCTCTCTCTGCCCCTCCCCTGCTCACACTGTGTCTCTGTCTCTCTGTCTCAAAGATAAACATTAAAATAATTAAAAATATATTTTAAAAAAGTGCTTGTTAAAACAGTAAAACGAAATTGAAAAGAAAACTCTTCCAAACAAGAGCTGACTGAGAGCTGGCCAGGGGGGCCCGGAACACGGCCTGGTCCTCAGGGAGAATCATTAGTGTCTGTTTTCCTGGCATCTCTGAACTATGTCTCTGGGAGAACAGGCTAAGAGAGAGAGAGCAAGTGAGGCAGAGGCAGAGAGAGAGAAAGAGAGAGGAGGCCTGGGCTGGGAGCCGACACTTGGTATTGGCTGGTTTTTAAAAAATTCCTTTAGCCACTGAGTAGACGTGAAGCGACGTGACATTGTCATCTTAATGTGCATTCCCTGATCTAATGGACACTGAGCATCTTTTCATGTGACCACTGACCACTTCCCTTGCTCTTCCTCTCTGTTCTTTACTCTTCCGTCAGTCCTTGCCTGCCTTCTTTTTAGATGAATCGAGTGTTTTACGTTATTCCATTTTGTTTTCTCTATTGGCTGCTTAACAAATCCTTTCAAATTATTAGTTTCTTTATTTTTTAGTACTTTTGTTTGGGGGCTGGATATAAGCATTCTTGTGTCAAATTCTGTTGAGTCGATGTAGTATTACTTCAGTCTTTGCTCTTCATTCCCGACCCTTCTCATCTCCCACGTCTCACTTCCCACCTGAGATGCTCCACTTCACACGTGTAACACGTTCACAACCACGTGTGATCTGCCCCATCCTGAGTGCCATCTTGTCACGGCTTTGACCTCCACCTCCGTTTTAAAGCCATCACATGCAATTATTCTGTATGCTTTAACTAGCTGTCTTTTTTTTAAGTTTATCTCTTTACTTTTGAGAGAAAGAGAGAGAAAGCACATATGCGAGTAGGGGGAAGGGACAGAGAGACCGGAGGGAGAGAATTCTAAGCAGGTTCCACGTTGCCAGGGCAAAGCCCGACGTGGGGCTCGAACCCACAAACCGTGAGATCATGACCCGGCTGAAATCCAGAGTTGGATACTTAACCAACAGAGCCACCCAGGTGCCCCTAAGTAGTTGTCTTTTAAGGAAACCATGAAAAGACAGAAAAAGCATAACAACTGATGTTTGCCCATTTGTTAACCATTCCCAGAACTCTCCTTCCTGCACATCCAAGTTCCCATCTTCTTCCTTTCACTCTGAAGAGCCATTTCCTGTTGTACCTGCCTGCTGGCCACAGATTCATGCAACTCAATCTGAAAATCTGAAAAATCTCTTTATCTGCTCTCAGTTTTTAGGAATACTTTTAGGGCACCTGGGTGGCTCAGTCTGTTAAGCGTCTGACTTCGGCTCTCAGGTCATGATCTCACGGTTCGTGGGTTCGAGCCCCGCGTCAGGCTCTCTGATGTTGGTGCAGAGCCTGCTTCGGATCCTCTGTCTCCCTCTCTCCTGATCCATTCCCTGCTCTCTCTTCCTTTTTAAATAAATAAATAACTTAAAAAAGAGAAAACTGTGCTGGACATAGAGTTTTGGGTTAAGTTTTTTCCTTTAATTTGGTGCTTTAAAGGTTTATATCATTAGTTTCTGGTTGGCGCTGTGCCTGATGAGAACTGAGTGGAAATTTTCCTCATTGTTCCCCAGAGGCCAGTGTGTCCTTTGCTGCCTGCTTTTAAGATGCTCTGTTTAGGTTGTTAGCACTTGACCCCGATATTCCCATACATAAGCTTCTTTGCATGTGTTTCCTGAGGTTCTGCTGAGTTTCTTGACCAATAAGTTGAGGTTTTTCATCAAATTTGTGGATTTTTGGCCATTATTTTTTCAAATGAATTTTCTATCACATCTGATGGTTTTCTCCTTCCAGGGCTCCGACTAATGTGGGTTAGGGGACTCTATACTGTCCGGTATGTCTCTGACGCTCTGCCTATTTTATTTTCAGTCTTTTTTCCCTTTCTCAGATTGAATAATTTGTTTTGACTTGTCTTCAAGGTCACTGACTCTCCTATTTCCAACGTGCTGGGAAGGCGATACGGTGACATTCTCAATGCAGTCATTGTACTTCTCAGTTCTAGACTTTTCATTTGTTTTTATACTAACTCTGTCTCTGTCTTTGCTTATTAAGAACATAATTTCCTGGGGCGCCTGGGGGGCTCAGTCGGTTGAGCGTCCGACTTCGGCTCAGGTCATGATCTCACGGTTCATGGGTTTGAGTCCCGCATCAGGCTCTGTGCTGACAGCCGGAACCTGGAGCCTGTTTTGGATTCTGTGACTCCCTCTCTCTCTGACCCTCCCCTGCTCATGCTGTCTCTCTCTCTGTCTCAGAAATAAACATTAAAAAATTAAAAAAAAAGAACATAATTTCCTTTCATTCTTTGAACATGTGTATTACAGCTGCTATATAGTCTTAACCTGTGAATAGGCTCTCTGGGCACCGAAGTGCGGGTTTCCATTCACTGCCTTTCATCTTGACTATGGTTTACACTTTCTGGTTGTGTCTAGTAGGTTTTTAGTATGTATTGGGCATTGGTAAATCATAGATTGTAGAGGCCCTGGATCATCTTCCATGGGAGAGTCTTGACTTTTGTTCTTGCTGACAGTTCAGCTACCATCTCTATCACCTTGGCTTTGTAGAGGCTTAGTTTTATGCTCTTTGTTAGGGTGCATCTGAGGAATGTTCAAGGTGTCCCCAAGCCCCAGAACCTGGCAAGATTTAATCCAAATGCTGTCTGTCTTGCAGATCAAGTCAAGGCTTTGCATGATACTGTACTACATTATACTGTGTTCAGGTAGGTCTAGCATAGGTAGGCCATATTTTAGGGCAGGAGTTGGCCACCTATGGCTCACAGACCACCTCTGGGCCGTGCCCTGTTTTTTATGGCCCTTGAGCTAAGAATGGTTTTTATATCTTTAAATCATTATTTAAAAAAAATTTTTTTTTAAATTTCTAGGAGAGAGAGAGAGAGAGAGACAGCGTGAGCAGGGGAGGGTCAGAGAGAGAGGGAGTCACAGACTCTGAAACAGGCTCCAGGCTCTGAGCTGGCAGTCAGCACAGAGCCCGACGCGGGGCTGGAACCCACGAACCCCGAGATCATGACCTAAGCGAAAGTCGGACGCTTAACCGACTAAGCCACCCAGGGGCCCCCAAATCATTATTTTTTAATAGTCCCAAAGAAAACGGAAGACAGAGCTGTATGTGACCTGCAAAGCCTGAAATACTCCTCTGGGCCTTCAGCGATACAGTTGGCTGACCGCTGGGCACAGGGTCCTGCATCCAGTGTCTCAGCTGAATGCCCTGGGTGTTACTGAGGTATCACTGAGGTCCTTCCTGTAGCCTGGCTTCACCTCTAGCATGCAGGAAGTCACACCATGCAGGACTGTCACGGCCGGCCGCATTCTGGTAAGCTCTATGGAACCTCACCCATGCGGCTGAGCCCAGCGGGGACCACGTGGGCTCTGCCTCGGGGCCCTCCTTAGTTCCTTCTTCTCCCGTGCTCTGCCTCACGGGCTCCCGCTGGCGGAAACTCGGATCTTTGCCTCCTCTCCCAGCCACAATGCACATACTACACTGCGCGCGGGCGCACACACACACACACACACACACACACACACACACACACACACAGACTACTTCACACATACATTTACTTTATGTTTCATTTGCAAAAGTCACCCCGAAACCACTTTCCATGCACAAGAAACTTCTACGCATTCGAGTAGAGTTTAATTTTGTGGCATTCCCCAAACATGCCTACTCCGGGGGAGGCCCTGTGTGGCCGGGCACCAGGGAGGGTTGGGGACACCAGTAAAAGGCACAGCCCCTAATCCTGCATTTTGCAGTATGGTGGACGCGGGTGGAGGGAACCTGCTGTGGAAATTCAGAGGCAGCTCCTTGCAGCCACCCGGAGGGTGCGGGGCGGCTGCCTCCCGGGAGGGCCCCGAGCAGGGACACAGGGCTGCTGGGGGCTCTGGCTGCGCCAGGGGCTGAGAGACCCTCCTGTGTTCAGGGCGGCAACACTACTTCCTAAAACCAGCGTAACCAGAAAACACAAGGCCGGGCGTTTCACAAGAAGCAACCGCCAATCGCCCGGCAGCGGGGGTTAATCTGGTGCCTTGAAGGTGTCCCCTGCGGCACTGGGCGGGTGACAGCCAGGTTGTGGGCAAAGGTGAGCAAGTGCCTCGCCAGGGCCCACATGCCCCTCATTAGTGACCCCAGGGTCGTCCCAGTGCCCACATGCTGTCAGTGCCCCTCAGGGTCCGGTGACCCCCGGGGTCATCCGTGTCCACGTGCTGTCGGTGACCCCGGGGCCGCGCCCGCGTCCAGGTGCTGCCAGTGAGTCGCGCTGGTCGCGGCCCGCGCACCCCGCGTCCCAGGGGATTCGCCTGGAGGGCAGGCCCCACGCCCAGGGGACGCTGCTGGCCGGGGCGCCCGCAGGCGGACCGAAGCGCCGGACCCCCGAGGGCAGCGCAGCCGCCGCGGTCGCCCCCGTGGAGCCGCGGCTCCGGGACGCACGTGGGGGCGGGGCGGGGACGCGCCGGGCCCGCCCCCGCCCCCGCCCCCGCCCCGCTGTCGGCGGACAGCGCCCGCCGGCGGCCGGGAGGCCTCCCCTTTAAGCCGCGCGCCCCGGAAGCGGTAGCGCGGTGGTGCCGGGCCCGGAAGTGGGGCGGGCGGCGGCAGCGGCGGCAGCGGCGGGCGGCCGGCTCCGGAGCTGCCTCGAGCGGCCGGGCGGGCCTCCCTGTCGCGGCGCCGCTCAGGCTCGGGCTGGCCCGGCGCGGCCTCGGGGCTGCCGATGGGGCGCGGGGGGCCGGGCCGGTGACGGCGGACGCCCATGGACGCCCCTGAGGAGCCGCTGCCGCCGGTGATCTACACCATGGAGAACAAGCCCATCGTCACCTGTGAGTCCCGTCGGCGCGGGAGGGGGCGGCGGCCGTTGCGGGGCCGCCCGGCCCAGGCTCCTGTCCCCAACCCCCGGCCCTCGCGGCCCGGCCCCCGCGCTCCCGGCCCGGTCGCTTCCTGGAACGGAGGTGTGGCCGGGGCGGAGGCTGCGGCGGGGCCCTCCGAGGCGGAGGGCGACCTCCGACCCCGCCGGGACGCCGTGGCCGGCCGGGTCCGCCGCACTCGGACGGCGCCCGGGAGGCGGGCGCGCCCCGGGATCGCGGGCGCGGAATAGGGGGCCCTGCGCGCGGAGGGGTGCGCCCCGTGCAGCCCCCAGGCTTGGCGGCCGGCCCCGCGCGCGGAGGGGACCGGCCTTCCCGGTGGGGGCGGACCTGCCCGTCCCGCCCGCCTTCCCCTCGGATCCCGTGGGAGGGTCTCGTGGCTCCGAGGGTTGCGAGCGTGGACGAAGTTTGCGTGCGTCCGCCCCTCGTTCCGGGAAGTGGTGGAAATAGTGGGAGACCGCGCGCGCGACGCCAGTGACGGGTCGGAGCGGTGCGAGGTGCGCGGCCACCGGCGGGACGGCCGCCGGCCGAGCTGGGCCGCGAGCTGCCCCCACTTTGGGCGCCTTGCCCACGAGCCCACCCCGCGGGCTCCCCGGCCCGAGGACAGCCCCGCCGCACGCCGCGAGCTGCGCCCGCGGGAGCGTCCCTCTGGCCGGCTCGCTCTGGGGACTGGGGACGGCTAGTCGGGTGGCTCCCGGGCGAGCGCCACGTCTAGGCCTGCACGTGGGGCCGTTTGCTCCACGGAAGGGATTCTGCTTCTACAATCGTCACTTTAGTGTTAGATGCTTAGAAGAGTACGGAGGTTAGAGGAGGTGTGGAAGCGTGGCCCACGGTTCCAGGTCTTGCAGGGAGGCGACTCACACGGGACAGTAGTTCCCCCCGTGCGCTTCCACGCTTTGAAAGGAAGCCCTTTTCCCAGCACAGTCGGGAGCCCAGGCGGGAGTAGTTCTGTGGGTCTTGAGCCCCTCGTGTTTCCTGTCTCTACTTTCTCTGGCTAGTGGACACACTCCCGCCGGCTCCCTTTTGTCGGATCCCTGTGCTGCTCCCTCTCCACCCGGCAGACCTCCTTGGGGACATGGGCTGCCGCTCCTCTGAATTTGGACCCTGGCGTCGCTCAGCAGTAGATCTTTTCTTTTCTCCCCCGGAAGCTCTGTTACCTGAAAGGCTAACGCAAGGCCTCCTACCTGTACAGCGCCAGCCCCAGGGGACAGGTGCGCGTGGCTGCGGAGATGCCCCCATTCCCACCCGCTCTGGACACTCGGGGAAGTGGGGCCGTGGTCTCTGTGGAATCCGGGTCCTGGAGAGGCCTCCCCCGAGCGCCGGACACTGACTACAGCTCCTTACCCTTGGCTTGTCCTCTGTTGGCCACCTGTGTCCATGGGCTCACGTAAGCCCCTTTCTGCAGGGAAAGTCCCCTGTGTCCTGGCCCAGGGCGGGAGCTGTTACCTGAAGACAGTGGTCTGCTCATGTATTGGAAGGATCCACCTTTCCCACCCGAAGTCAGCTCGGTGTTCCTGTGCTTGGGGCTGACGCTCCGGGAGACCCCGTCCCGTCCCCTCTTTGGGCCACGGTTGCAGGGAGGAGCGGGTCTGAGCAGGAGAGGCCGGAGGAAACCCGCCTGGTCAGAATCAGCGCGGAGGCTCCGTGTTCTTCAGGCTTTTTATCTGACGTACACGGTGTCTTAGTTGCAGCATTTCTGATTTTCAAACCTGAGGGCCTCTCCCCCCAGGATACCCGGCCGGCCCCGAACCTGGGAAGTCAGGCCTCGTTCCTTTTCTGGTGACGGCAGAGCCTGCGCTTGGTTTTGATTTTTCTCATAGCATCGAGGACGTTTTACTTTAAGCGGAAGTGAATTGTGAGGACCTAGTGAAGACCACGCAGAGTGTGACTGGCTCAGGGACGTTTAGGAACCGCTCACACATATGTGGCCATGGGAAGGGTGGAAAGTGCCCGGAGACCAGGGGTAGAGAGAATGTGTTACTGCTTGAGAAGCTTGCCGAGTTTTTTTAATAATATTCTGAGCCTACCGATAAATGATCATGGCCTTTAGTCCATAATTAATTGAAAGCTTGTGAACCAGCTGCCTCACTACCTCCTCCCTACTAAGGAGGGCCGCTTAGGCCCAGGACCGGGTAAGTCAGTAAGTCCCAGAGAGATGCACAGGCACGTGGGCCAAGCAGGTAGTGGTGGTAATAACGTGACGACGTTGGGTGAGGAGTCCCCTAGTCATAGCAGGTTGAGTACCTGTAGTATAACTTATTAATCATGAAAAATGCACAGTCTGAAACAAATCCAGCAGCTTTATTTGATTTAAATTTAAGTTGTGGCTTAGATTCCCCTCTGGGTCAGTTCTCTACTGTAGAATAGACTTAGATTTCTGTTTCAAAGGTATGTTAGGAAAGATGTATTCCTTTTCCAACTCCCATTTAGTGGACAAAGTTAGTGTAATTCCACTGATTTGTGGTGTTTCTTTGGTGGCTGTTGGCATCATGCCTAAAACAGCACATGCTGTCAACATAGACGTGTGTAGTATTCGAAAAATAATAGCACTCATCCAAATGGGCTGATCTTACTAGTCACTTCTTAGATTGCGTATTTTATTTTTCTGAATCTCTGTAGTGGGGGTTTTACATCTGACACTATAAATATTGAAAGGCAGAAAAGGCAACAAAAGTGAGCGGATATGTAAATGCTTTGAACCTGGTTAGAGTTGGATCCCCCTCCCCCCAGGTTATAGTTTTTAAATTTGCACATTGTAATTTTCCACCCACCCTGAAAGTGTGGTGCCTGTGAATTAATCGCTATCTCAGCTTGAGTACCAGAAAAGTAACTTAACTTTTTTTTTTTAATTGATGCACATAAATGTAGGTCTTGGTCCATATTAAATTCTTAAGCCACTAGCGAATCAGCAGCTGAGATTTGGGAGAAACATTTATCCTTAGGGAGGCTCAGTTGTTCCATGAGGTGTATTTGGGAGGGCGGGGGCTGAAGGTGCTACCCTATGTGCTCACCCTGCACTTTATGTGGTTTGTGTGTGTTGTGTGTGTGTGCATGCGTGCTTAAAACAGGCAGGTGTTCTGTGCGTGACCTAGGGCATTTCATAATCTCTTCCTGGTCTGTGAAGTAGGGATGGCGATGGTACCCATCTCATAGGGTTGAGAGCACCCAGAAGAGTAATCAACATGCAAAAACAGTTAACAGCTAAGCAGTGATTCCTAAACTTTCTTTGTTCACAGTGCTTGTAGCGTCTCAGCAATTTTTTTATGGTACCTCTACGTTAAGAAGAATACTTCATAATTCCATTTATTAGTTAGATCCTGATAACTTTATTAAATAAGTATTATGCCTTAACAGTAGTTATTTGAAGAAGTAATACACGTAACTTAGAAGGAACATTTTTCTTTCATTCTTAGAGAACCGCAGTAACAGAGTAACGGGATGGTTGTACCTGTTGGGCACTGTACAACTTCTGGAGCTTGGGAGTCAGATTATTTGACAGTGCCATCCTGTGTGTGTGTGTGTGTGTGTGTGTGTGTGCGCGTGTGTGTGTGTCTGTTACTTTCCTTTTATCATAGCAACCACCCTGTTTTGTGATACAGCGATGTCGTTGAAAGGAATGTAGCAGGGCCTGATACTGAAACCGAATACCTCAAGTGGGGTCCGGCCCCTCTCCAGCATTGCTGTCTTCCTCACAGGTTCAAAACCCAGTCCGATGGGGCCTCTGTGGCTTTGCGGTATTACCGGCCGCACCAGGGTCCAAAGTTACTAGTTTAATTAACTCTCGGGTGGATTTGAACGGATCACATGGAAGTTCCTTTTCTGTTTGAACTATGCTTGTAGGCCTGATGTGTTTCTGAAGAGTTTCTACTAAAGTGCGGTTTGGTTTATGCAGATGAACCCAAAAACCGGGGTCTGATTTTTGTTCGCAAGCTCTGCTGAGTCCCGCCCGGCGGACATCACGGGAGCACGTGCCCCGAGAGGAGCGCGGCGGCCTGGCGCGCCCGTGGGACCCGAGGCCAGAGGCGGCCGAGCTCCCTGGGCGTGCAGGTGTCCGGCCGCAGATCCGCGCGTCTCAGAAAGCTTTTAGCCGGTCGTCAGAGTGTGTGCTCGCGGGAGAGGCAGATGCGGTGTGTGCGGTCGCAGGGTACGGGTCCCCCACCGCCGCCTCCGGGGCCTGGCACTTCCCATCCCACCGCCGCAGCCGCCGGCCTTTGTCCCCTGGGCGCACCGGTCACTCCCACCTCCGGAGCCTCTGCCGTCCTGCGCGGCCTTGGCCTTGCCGCCGCGGTGCGGGCGTCTTTCCTCCGTGACCGCGCTGGGCGGGAGCGCGCCTATGCACGTGCCCGCGGTGTTTCGGCCTTAGAGGACTTTGGATTTTAAATGGGACATTGATGACTTCTCTCTCTCTCTCTCACAGCTGGCCGTCAGTCTGTCCACAGACGCTGTTGATCTCTGACGTTTGTCCACAATTCAGCCACGTCTCCCACCTTCACCGTGGCCCCCCAGGCGCCGGCCAGCGCTGCCTCTCCCGGGCCTGCCCGGGCCGCCCCGTGGGGTGCGGGGATCCCTCTGAAAGAGAAGTCCTGGCATCCTGGCACACAGGTTTCCCGCTCAGACCCTTCCAGACCACATTTCTGCTTTGCGTCTCTGCCCTGGTGTCTTCTAGACATTTCACACAGTGGGGTCCCGTGGCGAGCAGCCTCCAGCCTCGAGGCCGCCTTTTGTCCTCCGCGGGGTCTGGAGGCCCCTCATCCTCCTCTTTGGAGGCCGTGCCTTCATCTAGCTCGTCCCTTTCACTCCTGGATGGCGGGCCGCGTGGGGAGGGACCGCGGCTTGCTTGACTGTTCCCCGGGTGTGGACCTTCCTGGGCCTTGGGTGACCAGGCAGCTGGAGCACGTGCGCGTGGGCCTGTCGCCAGCTTCCTGGGAGGGTCTCCGAGCAGAAGTGCTGTGCTGTAT